ATAAACCCACGATTTCCCCAACATGTTTCACTCATTATATCACGATCCTCAGGTTGACGGTCCTGTTCATCGCTTCGCTCATCATCCGGATGTCGTTCGCCAGGTTCGCCCGCTTTTCAGCGTGCCCTTCACGAAGTAGGTGCCGAGAGTCGTAGCCTTTTCGTCGAAGGCCACGAGGTTCAACCTGGAGCCCCATGGGCCTTTGGGTCTGACTGCTTCGTTCTTTGATGGCGTTTTCCGTGCTCCTGAAAAACCAGAAGATAGGGAGTGGAGGTAGATCTCTGACTTGCGTTAAGACGTCGATCTATACTTCCAAGTCTTCGACTGTTTTTTTGAGGCATCGAAGGTGGCAAGCCTTCGAAGAGACCGCGGACGGAGACACCCACGGGACAAGTGGGATCTGGAACCATTCGGAGCCCTGGCGGGCGGTGACCGGACCGGGTCGTTCCTCAGGGGGTGGTCGTGACCGGGTGACCCGACCCGGACGGGACGGTGGGTGGCAACGAAAAAGTGGTGCGGCGGTTACTCCGTAGACTCCCGATGTCAAGTCACGACCCTGACGTCCTGTCTGGCCCGTAATGGGTCCGTGTGTAGGCTCCTCTACCAACTCCAGTGGTTTTCAGGGTCCATGGGATCGCCTTCCACGGTGTAGATCTTTTTGGAGCGCTGGCATACCCTGGCGGCAGTGCGGCAGTAGTTCTTCTTTCCCCAGTGATGTAGAATGCCATGTCAGCCGTCGGTGATCAGAGCGTATAAAAGGAATATTATGATGATTTATGATGCTTTGGTTCTCGTTCAGTCTGAGAAAGGCAAATGAGAGCGTGACTTGGATTTCTCACTGTTAACATGGAAGTGGATGGCATGGTCCACTTTCCTTGACGCACAGGGGGTTGCCACCCACTTCCATTTGATGTGTTCGTTGGAGTGTATACCGTATCCGTATACCGCAGAAATGGATCGGTTGGATCCTGTAGGTAGTATCCATTTGGCAACCCTTGCAGCATGGATCTTTGGGTATGTTGGGATACCTGGTAGCCGTCCGTGGTAGCGAGGGCCTAAACAGGAACCGGTGACATGGCCGCGCAAGGTCGAAATGCCATGAAACAATAGAGAATCATAGTATAGAGAACATGGCCACAAAAGCATGGTGCCTTTGTCGGATGGCATGTGTCACGTGTAGCTGGTGTTCCAGCTTTGATGCAATCAAGTGAAATCAAGTTAAGGTTCAAAGCTGAGGACATCAGACCGCTACGTAGCAGTGGGGAGGGTATCTCAATTCGACCTGCACATTGATTTTTCTGATCCTTTTGGATTCCACCGGAAGCAGAAGGCGACGCATGAAAAAGGCAACCCTGCGCCCGGCAGTTTCTTCAGCATCCGAATCTCCCAGGAACTTTAGTGAGCAGAGGGGTTTTGGCTTCATCACCTGCGAAGGCTGGACTGCGACCGAGACCGCTGACCGCGATGACCGATGACCGAGACCACGGGGACCACGGAGAGACCTCCATTGATCCGATCCCGTGGTTGACCATAGAGTCACGTCATGTAGAAAGTTGATGAACATACACGCCGGGTATTTTTCAACATGGAACCTGCGACCACGAAGCTGCTGAAGGACGATTTGACCTGCAAACGAATCCAGTGACCAGTGGTTTTTAGGTTCCATAGGAACTTTCCAGGGTGTAACACCCCCCCCATTTGGGATTGTAAAGTCTCTTCACGCCATAGAGTCTATGGTTGATGAACCAATGAGTGTACATGATTCGGGTGTGAAAATTCTCCGTTGGGAGGCCCCGGTCGCCCTGGTCGTTTGGGGTTGGAGACCGGTCTGGGAGGTCTCCCCGCGCTGCACGGCACAGCCAGGAAGATGCCCGGCCAATGCCTTGTAGAAAAAGCAAATTCAAATGTATGCGCGTTTGAAGCCAGTTTTGAAACCCTAAATCCTTGTATAATCCGTTAACATGTCGCGTGTTCAATAACCTAGGCAAGTGCAGACTGGACATGAAAAAAAAAACACAATTTGTGGACACACCAAACGGGGGTCTTTGACTTCCTCACTACGTTGGGTTTCGGTGGTCGCGACGCCACGGATCGACGCACCGAACGGGCGTAAGAGCCATGGTGGCGTGTCTACGCGCCGAGGCTTTGGGCGGGTTCAAGCGGGTTTTATTGCCATGTATATATAAGTCCCAACCCTGGGGTCTTTGGTGTAACAAGTGGCGCAACGAGTCTCAGCCAGCGTGATCTCCGCATGCCTGCGCCAGGCATTGATGAAGATGTGTTCTTTATGCGAACCGCTCTTCCTGAAGGGCACCTTGGCCGTGTTCTTTACAGCACGGCCGTTTTTGGTCCTGTTTTGTTCGGCTCGACGCACCCAGTGGCTGCCTTCATTTGCATGAAGTCGACTGGAATTCTGGATGGGGAGAGGCCTGGCAGAGGAGGAGTTTCGACTTCTTGATGTTTCAACCTGCTTGGCTTCACACAACATGTTCACACAGATCTCACCCTACGAATCCGGCCCTCAACCCGGGCTATGGAGGGCCTGAGGACTTTTAGGGTAGAATATGTATGGGACTGTAGCATATAATTGTACAGGCTTGCCGCGTGCTTGAATCACAAGGAAGTATTTGAAAAAGAGGTGCGCCTCAAAGCAGGTCAAAACCAATTCCGTGGTTTTCGATGTGGTTTTATATCAGAGCTCCTAGATGGCCATCGGCTCCTAGAGCTCCTTGTTGGGCTCCTCTCAGGCAGCGAGACCTTCAGAATACCGACCTGCAGAACGCTGCGGTGGGGGGCCACGGCTCGCCCGCCCCGTGACGTCGTCCCTGGACTCCTGCAACCCCACGGCTAGTGGGGGGGCAACCGATCAGGCCGTGGGCCATGAGGGGTCAGATCGGCAAATATGCCAGTCCCATGGAGTGTTTGGGATAGGTACCAATATTCGCACAAAGATCAGATCTTGGTGATGAACAGATCTCAATCCAAGTATAAAAGAAGGAGTAAATGAACTGTGCCAAGCTTCAAGCTTCCATCCAAATTCCGTGTCAGACTCAGCTGGTCAGCCACTTGGCTTCGACCCATCCACCAATCCAGGATTTGACTGGTCCGATTCCGTTGATGGAAGAGGTCTAAGACACAGAACACATGAAAGACCCTTAAAGGCAGGTGTTGTTTCATGCTGAGAGGGGAGGTGAGCCTTTTTGGGATTTGCTGCTGATCTCGCTCCACAAAACAGGTTCGCAGGTTTTCTGAGAAACTGCTGAGGTGAACTTCGAGATTGTGAAGACTTCTGAGGGAAAGTATCGAGCTCAAAACATCACCTTCAGCTAGGCCGAGAAACCGGGTGTGATGACCTCAAACCCTTCAAAACCACCGACCGCAAGCACAACATGTTGACTAGATCAGGCTGCACCAGGTGTTCCATGTCACAATGTCGGAGTGCCTAGTTAATTAAGCATTTTTTGTAATATAGAACCTGAAACCACCTGTAGTGGTCTTCACGACCCAGAGGCTTTGGTTTTTATATACTGTCATATGTTAGCTTGCTTTAAAGAAACAAGCGATCAACCACACTAAGAGTGTGCTGGCAGCAACTGCTGATTTGATTTGTTTCCTTTGGCCTATGCAGACTAAATCTTGTCGCACCACCCAACACTTTGATCTACAATGCTTCTTATGCTGTAGACACTGTAGACGGGTGGCGTGTCTGAACTTCAGTATGGCCCAGCTCTGCCAACCCATGATTTGGGGTTCTTTGGTAGCTTGGCTTGCATCCTTGTCCTTAAACCCTATCGAATATAAGGCCCGCATAGAGACCAACGCAGAAGGCCCACTCTGGGCATCACCCCGGTCCCTCCGGGCTGTCCCAAGGGTGGTCGCTCAAGGTCAAACTGGTCCAGACACTGGCAGACCAGGCAGATAGAACCCACGGTGGAAATCGGTGGAATAGGGGAATGCAGAAAAGCTGGATCAGGCGCGGCTGAGCATGGCGGAAGACATGGCGGAAGACATCTTTGCTTTGTTCTTTGAATACTAGTGTATTCCACCGAAGTAGGTCGTGTTTAAGCACCCAAATGCACACCTGGTCTGTCCTGGTCTTCTTTTCGTCAGCTAGCGAAGTCGCGCTCAGCGAACTCGCAAAAGCCAGGTTGACCGAGCGATCCAGCGACCGGCGTCGGACCTGCAGACGACGTGCAGACGGCGTCGAGTGACGAGCGCACTCGGCCAGGTGATGAGGCTATAAATAGAGCGAACGAAGCCAGCGGTCGGTCGTGCGCACTGATGAATGTGATGGTTCGAGGTGGGTGAACAATGAGGGTGAACAATGAAACTTCAAGGAGGTGGTTTACTGAGTTCATCTTGGGTGTTCTTTTTGCGGAGGGTTGGCTTTGAAGGCCTGAACTTGAACCCATGTGTCTCCCCTGGTTGTCTCCCCTGCTTCGCGCTACGTCTCGCGCTGGTGGCCTGCATTGGTCGACATTGGATATGACAGAGCTGATGCTGGATGGTGAGCATTGCTTCCACAACTGAGGTGATTGAGATTGACATGGATTTGAGCAATCCTTCTTAGTTCTGCCTGTCTGGAGGGTACACCACATCTGTCACAGTTCCGGCGAGCCGGCTCCGTGATCGAAAAAGGCCACCAAAACAAAATGACCCCAACCCTTTGCCAGACATGCACTTGAGGGATCACAAAACAGGGGTGCCAACTGCAAGTGGTATTGTTGTATTGTGCACTCTTTGGAATCATCATGGAAGTGCAAAACTAATCAAAACTACCTGTTTGTAGAGGAAAACGGTCATAGTCATGAGCCAATTTCCGGGGAAGCCTTGTGTGTGTTTGATTTTTGTTGCATTGGCTTTTGCCTCAGATTGCCCTGTCTCAAGCTACTGAAACGCCGGGCTCTTCCATGTTCGATCAAGAGGTATGGGTTTTCACCATGTTTTCACCACCCATGAGGCTCTGTCAGTCGATCCTCCGGCAGTGCCACACCGGCCAGGTGTGGAGGGACATGCCCTACGACGCCAAGAGTGACATGTGGTCCTTGGGTTGCCTGGTTTTGCTTCAGGTCATTCTTGTGTTTCCATGGGTTTTCCCTCTGTGAAACGACTCCGTAGCATGGAGAATATTTCATTCCGAAACCAGCACATCCTAAGGTTGCGTTTTGTACGAGATGGCCACTTCACCGCAGAGATTCGGCCAACTCTGGGCTGCTGTGGATTAGCTCCATGACAGAGCAACAGATGAGACACCTAGTGAGACACCTATACATGCGAGAAGTTCTGGGGTTTGCTCAATGTATAGGTGAAACTGCCGAAGTCTTGTTGCAGACTTTCAGGCTGATTCTATAGAGAAATTCCTTTTTCACAGTATACTGAGTTTTGAGTACAAAGGTTTCATCATCGACTACCTCGTCAACGAGCAGCCCGGAACATCTCCAACCCCTGGTCCCGTTGCCCCAAAAATGGCGCCTATACTACTGAAGAGCGCGCGGTTGAACGGCCACATATCCCATACACTCCATGGGACTGCCATATTTGCCTACATTGACCCCCCTGGCACCACCCCTGGCCGTTTCTCAGCAGTCTGTCCTGGCAGTCCCAGACAGGTCGCGTCTGGGTTTCGCTTATCCTAAAGTGTACGACGGCGCTAAACTGGGTCCTATGTCGGTCTCCGACCCTCTTCCCGGCCCCCGACCTGCTGCGTTGGGCTGGCTGGCTGTCCTGACCGGTGGACTGCTGGCTGGCCGGTGGTGGTCACCCAGACAAATGCACTCCACAAAGGGTTGCTTCGTCCGGGGGATTGAGTGTTTACCATCAAAAGCCCTTGGACAAGGGAACCTTAACAGAACAAGACGCATTTGTATGCATGTTTAAAATTAAAGCTTGGTCAATCCGGCTCCGATCCCGTATAGAAGAGGTGTTCATGATAAAACTCCTGGGACACAAACATCACAAACACTGGCCGATTCCCAACCGATCGGTTGCAGTCAAGCTCTTGAATCTAGGAGATCACTTCCAACCCCCTTGGATCATGGTATGTTACCGGTATATGATTCAAAACTAACATGCCGAGCAATCCACACCTTCCAATGGATCTGTCTGGAGACCTGTCACAAATAGACACAAAGGAAAAGAAAATATTGTTGCCCCTCATAAATATATTGATTAGAATGTCTATGGACGCTTTTTGACAGCGTCAACCGATAAAAATATTTATGTGTTAACAAGAATTTTACATTGAATAACATAAAGGGATGAAATTTATATAAAATCACCTCAATAAAATAAATTGCGAATTCATAAAGATATAATTACACTAGCACATGACCTCCTTTCCATATTTATACTGGGTGCAAGTGACCCAGGATTAGGCGGACATAGCTGCAGAAACACTAATCCTAAGTCATTAGGAAATGTTAAAATTTGACATTTTAGCACTAGTCCTAAGTCATCAGGCTAAAACAATGAAAAAGCGGCCAAGAATGGTTAGCTCCGGAGATTCTTTAAAAGAGTGAAATTCACTCACAGACTGTGATGACGTAGGACTAGTTGACAGATTGCAGATGCCATAAACATCATGACTTAGGAGAGAGAGAGAGAGAGAGAGAGAAAAAAAAAAAGAAAACTGGGATGGATCCTAAGTCATCAGACATTAGAGGGTATTTGCTTGTACGCATTCTTGAATAAAATGAATAGCAAAAATGTCCAACTCTTTGCTCTAACAATGTGATGACTTAGGAAAAGAACATGCAAAAAAACACAACACAACAGCCTATGTCATCACCCTGTGTCACCCCACAGTTTGGACATGTTTTAAGATATCTTTTCAATCATCTGACGAAGGCGCCTGGATTTGCCTCGTACAGTAGTCCTAAGTCATCAGCATTTAGTTGGGACAGGGTTTCTACCGTGCACATTGCCGTTCGCTGATGACTTAGGAGTATGGAACAGCTGAACCTAAGTCACTGGTGACCACAAGTCCTAAGTCACTGGTCCCCAGCATAAATAAAAGGAAAGGATCATGAAATATAAAATGTAAACGAGGGCAGGGATTTCTTGTCATTCATTTTTTATTGAAAGATCTTTGGCATGCAAAAAAGAGGATTAAGAAATGAAATCAAGAGCATAAAATAAATGAAAAGATATCCTAATGCCAATATTTTCCAGCTCTTGGAACCTTCATATTTTTGTGCCTGGCTGTGACACAGCCAGGTGAGCAATCCACACCTCGCATCCAAAGAATCAGCACACCAAAACCCCGACGAACCAAATGCTCCACCGCCTGAGCGGACGCGGAACGGACCGTAGGTGGCCCTACGGCCTCCTTTCAGAGCTGAAGACATGGAGGGCCTGTGCGCCGGTGGGACATGTGGTGCTGAGCCCCACCGGGAGCTGCCGCCTTTTTCGACACTCCAAGGATCCCCAGAGGGTGCAGAGATGATGCAATGTAGATGATCAGAACAGTGGAAGATTGTTGCAGGCATGTTGGAGTGGGGTTTTCTCACAGATCCACGTCTTTTCGTTTCCGTCCAGGTACCACAAAGTGGTCAGAGGTCAATATCCAAGAATTCCTGCTCATTATGGCGGCATTCTCAAGAGTCGATCGCAGAGCTTTTCGCAGAAACGGCATGCCCTCACCAGACTATGACTACACAAATCTTGAAAGAGGTTGTAACATTATGCGACATATTGTGACATGAACATTGCTTTTCCCACCTTTCCCACGTTGCAGTGCTTTTGGACACGTTCTGATCTCGAAAAGGCTCAGCTCTTCGCAGCAGAACCCCCCCGAATCCTCCACTCAGCCTGGCAACACGCCTCGCAGCTGGACTCGACCGTTCAACGACGGACATGTTGGTCGGGTGGCGTCGTGTTTTCAGGTCAAGATCTGGCGGATGTGATCGCTGCATTGTTGCAGGCGCGCTTTCCAGAAGAAAGGACCGCAAGACTCAGACTGTGAGAGGACTTACTGGGGTGGAGGATGTAAATGGGTGTGGCTGAGGGGGATGGGTGGTGAGATGGGTTGGGGCTGACTGGTGATGGAGATGTGGAAGGAGTTGATAGGAGGGATCCCCGCTCAACTATTCTCACATCAGATCACACACAAGTAATGTGGCATTAAAGGGTTGAAGATTGTTGAAGATGTTCCCTTCATAAATAGACTCATCAAAAGTATATCCCGGGAATCCATTCGTGGGAGGCGGTGAATCTGTACTTGCTCTCAGGAGCAGCTGGAAATCAGGCTTTACTTCTTCTGTGGACCCTAATTACTGCCTAGTGTGTATCAGTGTGTGTGTGTGTATCATTGTGTATCCACATGGAGCATGCAGCGACTGGAGCCACTGGAGCTGTCCTTTGTAGCGACTGGTGGCCCTGGTTCGTCCGCTTCAAGAAAGGGAAGCTAAACATGAAGCCGAACGTGACCCAGTTCTGAGGGCTACTGTAAGCCAGCAAAGGTTTCTTCATGTTTCTTTTTGCATTTGACAATCCTGGACGTGGAACATGAAAGACCATGTTCCTCCACAACGAATTAGGCTTTTCTCAGCTCCCAGGATTGTTGAGAGGGCCAGTTGGCTGATGTCCTGCCATTTCACTTCTCACCGGACGACCTGCCAGGTCCACCCAAGGAATCGGCCTTCGGTGGAACAACTGTTGCAAATGCCACAGATGCTCCGGCATTCCAGTGGTCTCAAAGAGGACCTTGGTCGTTGCGTCCTGCGTGGGGTGGGTGGATCGACGGTCGGCGAGAACGTGGTTTGGGGGACAGATCGGTTGATCGAACTGTTTGCTTGGCGAGGTCAGGATCCGAACCAGACACAGGCGAAGACAAGGCCCACTCCGACAAACACATCAGTGGTTTCAGAGGTTGGCACTGGCACCCCGAGATGTTGTTGACATATGGGGGGGCCATGGGGGCCCATATCAACCATCTTCTGGCGATTGTGCGATTTTCTCCGAAAACGGATGAACAAGGCCTGTTTGCAGAGGAAGCCCTCTTCTTGTGGCCCGTTTTCCACTTGCATGTTAGTGATTCGCAGTGTTCTCGTTGGGGATAATTTGGCATGCAAGCACATCCTGTGTAGAATGCAGCGACTTACATGCACATGTGGGATAAAGATAGCAGAGATCAGGCACCTGGCTCAATACCCACGACATCCACTGCAACAAACTCTGATTGTTGTGACTTTTGCTTCACTGCTAGTACCAGACATGTATATAAAATAATATGTAGCAAAGATGTTGCTTCTTCTTGTCATCGCCAGGTGCTTCACCCCTTACTGACTTTAGTATGTGCTATTTGACAGGAATCCCGGATCTATATAGTACATAATTTGCCTCGATTGGAATTTCTTAGTCCCCCCAGAGTTTCCCCCAGTTATACATCCAGTTGCCATGGCAGGAGTCCAGACCTGCTGGGGATTTGCACATCTGCCACGTCTTGGCGGTTGAAACGTCCCTTTCTTCGACAAGCAACGACCGCCTGTACGAGTTCTTGCCCACAGATGCTCTCTGCTCAAGACTTGAGGTCCTTCGCTGGATGCAGCTGGACATGCCTTAAACTGCCTTAAACATCAAGTCCCCCAAGCAAACTTAAACCACCCAAATGTGAATTGACTGGTCACTGGTCGTTTTATGTTGGTCTACAGAGTGAGGGCGGTACCGCGCAGGTCCAACCCGTCGCTGGTTGCGCGATGTCAGGTTATCGACCATCAAGTTACCGAAGAATGCCATCGATTTGAAGCTCGTCCGCGCAAGTGGGCGCTGAGGTCGGGCATCCAGTATCCAAGTGGTCTCGGGTCCCAAGTGGAGGTGTTTGTTACTTTTTGTTTAAAATACCCATTTAATGGGCCCATGCTCACACACAAGCCCTCCCGCACCCCAACGATCCAAGGACATCAGTGAAGTTGCTTTGGGGTGCTTTGGAATCCTCGTTCATGATGGTAGATGTGCTTCGACATTTTGAAGGAGCTTTCATTGATTGTTGTTGACTGTTGGCAGGTTATTGATTGATTCGTGTAGTGGTCGTGAGGTTTTGTCTTGTGATGCTGATAGTGGTACTTACACGACTCCTGTTGCACTGCACCTATGTCCCCCCCGTAATCCCCCATACAATCCCCATGCTATGTGTTGCGGCTGTGTTGCGTGCTGTTGTTTCTGTTTTGTTAAATTACTTGTGACATTTGTTGGTATAAAGCATTATACATCATAGAACTACAACTATCCAGTATGTATATGTGTTGACCTTTGGAGTGGCTAACACTTCTCCGCAACTCCCGCCTTCCAAGGAGTGGCTGTTTGCCAAAGCCACGCTATGCCTGCAATCCCAGAGTCGTGGGGTGATGTGGGCACTGCGATACCAGTCACCACCCCCACATGGAATCTGAAAATGAACCGGTTCCATGTGATTGTTCCCGGATGCATCGAGCTGGTGTAACAACTGACTGATGCAGCTGGGACTTGACTTTCAAAGAGAGATGCGAAACGACCGATGTCAGAACTCTGACTGACACAGGTTTGGCTGAATACACAAATCACAGCGCATCTCGTGCTATAAAGGTGCTTGCCATATATAGGGTTAAAGCTGCTTGCACCGTGCCCAGTGGAAGACATCAGCACATGTTGCTCCTTTGTTGTCACCTATATTAACCATACTCGCCGATACTGGCCGTTACTGGGGATCATCCAACGCATCGTGACATTAGCCAAGTAACACCATCCACTGGTCGTTCCTTGTGTTTGTGGCCAGTGGACATGTTTTGACCAGTGAACATGTTGTTGTTTTGTGGCCAGTGGAACGAATCAACTGCCGACCTTCGGTCCGGCACCGTCCTCGGGGTTCCTTTGATAGAAAGCCCAAAGACATCGCATGTTCACCCATGATTGGAGGTGGTGCACCATGGTGCACCTGTTTTCGGGGATGGCCATTCTTTGTTGAACATCGAGCAGTTCACTACTACATTGGGTTTCACAGGTTGGATGGCACAGACCCCATTATGTTCTAGACAGACGGGGGTCCATACAAAGCACCAAACTTGGGGATGTCCTTGATCCACCAATTCACGGTGATAGGCTTCCCACCACGTGCATTGGAGCGACCTCCGATTCTTCAGGTGGCACCTGAGGAGATGCCGTTGCTTCGGGAAGACGACCTCATGTCCCACCGCTCACAGGCGACCCGTCGTTGGACCGGGACCTTCGCAGTTGTCCGGTGGACAGATGTGGAACAAAAAGACGCCAACGTTTCATTGCGAGCTTATCGCGGCCCGCTATTTCTCGATCAGCCAGGCCGGCCAAGAACCACGGTCCAGCCGGTCCACCAGGGTTGCCTGCGTTGTCCAAAGTTTTCAGACACATGAACATCGCACCCAAACACCGCGTGGTGTCGGTGTTTGGTTTTGTTTTCCACGCGTCGCGCGGGTTTTTGGGGTTCGAGACACGTGATCACCATTGAGCACCAACCAACCGACGAAGTGTCCAGGACCGCCCAGAAGAGGCTTCCACTGGCGCGCTTGGGCGGCCGCGTGAGCGGCAGAAAGGGAGCTCAGGCAGGTCTGGGTGGGTGGATTGGTAGAGATGACTGCTACGACTAGGAAAATCTATAGGATATATTATATGTCGTTGTATTATGTTTTTCCTGTGTGTGTTCATCAGACTTTTGCATGTTTATTATGGGTTTCAAGTCATTGGAGTTGTTTATTTTGCATGCATATATTGTTTTTTAGCTAGATCTTCCGCCCAACCGACCAGTCTGAGGACTGCAGATGGAGGTCAGTTGATATCCTCGAGGGGAATCACGAAGGAGGGACATCCTGCATGGGTCCATGGCGCAACCTTCGGGCTACGGGGCTACGGTGGTTTTGTAAACCAATCCCCCCCCATGTTTGTGCCTAGCCGTTTTTTGTAAACCAAAAGCATTTTGTAAACCACGTTTTGTTTTAACATGTTGACCAATACATGTTTTGTGAACTAATCCATTCCGTGTTGACCATTCCTTGTATGTTTTTGTTTGTAAACCCATTCAATCCATTACGGAATTTGTTGTGCAAACTGTAAACTCCGTTTTGTGAACCAAGCTGGGTCAGCCCGCACGAGCCAGGCGAAAGCCAGGCAAGCCGGCCTCCTTTACCACCGCGCGGCCCACGTGAAGGGCTTAGCAGGTTGCATTGATGGCTTTTGCATCTCAGATTCTGCCAGAAGCTCGAATTCACCAACATCCGAGCACCCTACACGAACATCATGCCTTCGTATGAGTTACATTCAAAACCCACATGTAAGGATTCTCTTCAGGAGTTGCACCAAACATTTTTGAAGAAGACCTGGAACAGTCAGCAGCTGCGCATGAAAGAATACTACCATAATATTTGCAGGACTTCACGAAGGGAGGAGGGCAGAGATGGCAAAGTCACAGAGCAGAATGTCACGTTCAGTGGAAACCCTGGAACGATGAGGCTGCAATCAGTCATGTGTTTCCATTGAGCCGTGCTGTATGGAATTTGGCTTTTACACGGGGGCTTTGAACGCTGCTCATATGCCTTCCAAAATTAGAGTTTCTCCACGATCATCATCCCAGCACCCTTGTTGATGAGCAGAGCCTTCCTACTCCCTACCTAGATGGAAGAAACGTCTTCACATACGAGAGCGTAGTTTGTTTGATCCGTCAGTCTAAAAAATGACTTGTCTTCTCGAAAACAAGTCTTTTGTTCCTCATGCCTTATGGCCGCGGACACGGTTCTTTCGAGTTGATCTGGCTACGGGAGCGATTCGGCGTGGTTTCAGGATCGGCCTTGAGACGATGACGGGGTGTATTGCTTGGTTTTCTTTCGCCCCCAAAATGAACAGAATATACTGCCGGGGAGGTCAACCGGAATTAATTAGAAGCCTTTGTGGGGTCCCGCCCCTCAACCTGAGTGCCAAAGAGTTTGGGAAGGCCATCTCAAGAAATGATCAGGTCCGTAGACTGACATCACAGAGATGGCGAACCTTAGAAGGCCAAAGGTTTAAGAAGACAAGATCGAGAGAAAATAAGTTCTTACCAGATTGTGCAAATCAGATAAGGTTTAAAACGACCTTCTACTGGCTGATTTCTTCGCAGACCGTTTCTTCATCAAAGCCATCCTCGCTTTTTTCCTGCGCACCGAGCAGGTGAGCGCCGCCCCGAGCCGGAGGCGCGAAATCCGGGGAGCGATCCCATGCGAAATCCAGGGCTGGGCTTGATTGCGATAAATACATACATAGCATTGCATAGCTGCATATATATATATATAACTATATATACCAAGACCCTCCAAGAGGTGTTTGTAAATAGCCTCTTGGAGGTTAAGAGGTGTCCAAAAAACACCTGTTGGAAGGTCCTGGTATATCTTCATCGTCGTGGGGGCTTGTAGAACGTGACTTACACCGACTTGCAACGTGTTCAGCTGGTGATTGATATGTGATTGATATTGATTGATATAATTTCTCGTCGAACATGTACAACTTGTTCGTTTCAAATCTGAAATTGATCTGGCAGTTCCAACCCACTCTTCTCATCTCAGTTTGTTGCAGCCCTGCTTGAGCAATTTGTTGCTCAAGCAGGGCTGCAACAAACTGAGATGAGAAGAGTGGGAGAGCCCTTCACAGGCACACAGGCACCACGACAATTGTTCTAACATGGCTGACTACAATGCCGGCAATGAATGAGTGGTCCGAGTGGTTATATAGTTATAGTTGGGATGGGCATAGGATGATATAGAGCTAGCCCTCAACCAAACCCATATACTCTATCTATGGCTGTTCTCTTCGGATCAACACCTATCGTGGTCCCAAGTGTGTCATGGGGGGGCCGCTCCCGATCCCAGATGCCGAAGATCACTGGGAGCCTCACGTGTGCAGGCTCAGAATCTCTACTAGGTTGCTAGGGCAATGATAGGAGTATGGAATAGTTATGGACGGATTATCGAAAGACCAATGCAATCAACCAAAAGAACCAGGTTCCCAAAGGGTCCAGGACCATCCAAATCCGCTGATTCTTCGCCCTTTGCAAAGCACACCTTCTCCGGGAAGTATCTATGGTGGTTCGTGATGTTTCTTTCTCCCACTCCCAGTCGGTGCAGGCAGTGCAGACCCTTGATTTGTCCCAGTTCCTGGACAGCAAATCCCAACTTAAGTCACGTAATATCCACTCCCATCACATCCCATTCACTTGAAAATGACCTTTCAGAACCCTCGACTTGGATGGTGCTCGCGTCGACTCACCCCCGTGCCGTGGCGACTCGCCGCGTGGCGACTCTCCCCAGCTGAGAAGCCAAAGTTGCTGCTCGGACCGGCGGTCTGGAACAAGTCAAGTTCACAGATCAGATCAGACGCGATGCATCGCGATGAAGACCACGGCATCGCGATGAAGTGGATTGAACAAAGCAAAAGCCTCAAAAGCTGTACGGTGTTTGATGCTTTTGGTATTGGAACCCTGTTTCGTTTCTGTTGTTTCTTTGGTGCATAAGCCGGTTTGCCAGAACTTCGGGGCAGAACTGCACCCAAGCGCCTTTCAGTCCACGGAGACCTTTCCGCCAACCGAACACACGGCACCGGAGACGGGACGACGTTCGGAGACCGTCGGTGAAGAAGTGTGAGAAGCGTGCGTCCAATGGCGCGTCATGGGAAGCAACCAATCTGAATGCGGCTTGGTTTTAGAGTTAAGATGAGTGTAGCACATTGTGAACATGGCTAGAAAGCTGTTGGACTCAACTTGATTGCTTTTTTGGACATGTTTTGATGGGCTGGTCCGGCTGGTCTATTTTGCAAAGCCCTCTTGATTACTACTTCCAGAGACTGTTGGAGCCGCTGGATCCAGGGCTTTAGTCCATCCTGTGTTTCCGATTTGGGGAGGCAACATCCTCCCTGAATCCGCCCTCCAAATGTGTTGCAGATGAGGTGGCAGATATCCTGGTTGGTTGAGGAAGCTTCAACTCAAAAATTGATCCATGAGGAATAAAACCAGTGGCAAAAGACAAGGCGTTTGGCTTGTCACCAGAACGCAAGTGAGTGCCGCACCCAGTCTATAGTCAACCCTTCTTAGAATGGCAATGCGCAGACACCCCTAGCTTGCATAGCCGCATAGCCTACAAATTACTGTAAATTGACGAATCGACATATACAACGCACCCATGCCGGCAAACTTGCACAAACAGGCACCTCTAATTTCCAAATGGCTGCCATGGCACAAGCATACCTTCGTTGACCAATGAGGTCTTTGGCTACATGGTGGTTTTGGGGCTCCAGGTTTTGACACCAATATTCCCCACTGGTGTGCAGCTGCAGGTGTTGATCCCAATATCGACGAGACCACCCCGACCATCCAACGCTGCGTATCTCCCCGAGGCTGTGGTGTGAAACGTGCCGAGCCCTTCGACTGCTGCGGCCCCAAGAGGGCCCAGCCAGTCGTTTCGCACCCGGGCGCGGGCGCGGCAGCGTGCTTTCTGGAGGCAGATGTGGAGCAGCGACAGTTGGAGACATGCGTGGGGTGCCGTTTCGGTGTGCATTCTTGGGGTGTTTGCTTTTCGGGCTTTGAGTGGTGCATCTATTGAAGTCTGAAGGATTACACCTTTTTGATCATGCCTAGGGCCTAGGGCAGGCCGCATTTCCACTAATTTTCTTCCAGGAGGGGTTCAGAGCGAAAGTTCTGCGAGACGAGGCTGGGACTTGACCTCATGCATCAACATTATAGTCACCAAATGGGGGGTGTTTGTTTGCTGAGAAACGCAAGCTCGGAATCTGTTGATCTCAAGGGCGGTGTGTGTCATCCGATTCCTTTACACCTACCGGTTAGCTCCGTGCAGAGCACAGAGCTGTTTCAACTGTGCGTCGGTTGATACAAAACTCCTCTCCACCCCTTGGGCCAAGCGCCCATTTCATACAACGGGGAAGGACGGGCTGGTATACCACTGACCTTGATTGGAACCACAGACCATATAGGAACAATCAAGGGGTATGTTATACATTGTTATACCCCTTTTATGCGATTTTATGCCAAATAATCTTTACATTCTGTACACTGCCCAAAAGTTAAGGTGGAAAATTGGAGTCATAGAATTACCTCCCACATTTGGTATATATACTTGTACAAAATATCATGTTACTAAGGTAATGCCAATCAAATCTCTTCATATGCCGCAAGCTTCGCACCCGCTTCGCCCCTCGCCGCAGGCGGAGCCCGACGAGCGAGGGTCGCCGCTCAGCGTCGAGCCATCGGAGCCACCGTCGCCGGCGCGGACGGACCGGAAGGGCAATCCCATCCTCCCCCGGGAGGCAGGGCGGTGCCCCCGTGATCCGGGCGAGTGTCGGGCACCGGAGAAGAGTGGTGTGTTTTTGGTAAGTCGATCCACAGAACGATGTTTTTTGTAATGTTCGGAGTTGTTTGGAGTGTTTTTTGGTTTATAGACATATAGATGGTTTAATTTGTTGAATAAGCATTTGTCAAGGCAAACCAAAGAATGCCAAACAAGATGCACGCTGGAAGAGTAGCATGGAACCTGAAAACCACTGGTTTGTGGAGGAAGCTAGTCTTCCAAAAAGGTATATATGTTCAGGTTCATGTTCCAGTGTACTGGTGCAGTGGTGGATGTTTTAAAGAAGTGGCTGGAAGTGTGACTGCTTAGCATTTGTAACCTGCATTTGAGTCCTTCATAGATCGGTTTTGGACATGCAGGAACTTGTGGACGGCAATGGGTAACCTAGAAGATGTTCCATTCACCGATCTTCTTGTGGATGTGGGTCATGTGGGTCTGTGAATTGCCCTATATAAGAGCAAGTCCAGTGTGCCAGGCCCCAAACAAAAGGACGAGCCCACAGATCCCACGCTCATCAAACGCACGTTTGTTGCACCTATCCCAATCCACAACCGCACGCCTAACCACACCTGTGGATGCTTCAGCCCTTGGGCCACCACCCGTCGCTACCTCTCCACCTCTCCATCCGCTGGCCAGTTGACGCCTAGCGGACTGACTCCGCATCACATTTCGATCCTTGGCGTTCGGAGTCGGACTCGCTCGGACCCTGACGGACGGTTGGGATCCCGGATCCGTTTGGATGGCCTCTGGCCTCGGGCCCGATGGCGGCATGACTGAAGCCACCCCAAAAACCGGCGACTGGCGACCCCGGACAAAGGCTGAAGGGAGGCTGAACAAACTGGATGCATGTCGTTGGAGCATCGAAAAAGAAAGAAAAACGGTCTCCAGAGGCCCTACTAGTGGGATCAATGATGATAAATCTCCATTCCAATTTTTGTCATTGGATGGGGGTTCTGCATTTCGTTGGGTGGTGTGTGCACAAAGTGTTGCTGGCACGCGATTTTATTCATGATCAGATTTTAGAGTTGTATTCTGTATTCTTTGTTGTTTTATCTCTGGGGGCTTCTCAATCTCCAGGATTGGTCATTTCGAAGGTTCTCAGCATGACTGCTCTTGGAGGTCATGAAACACCTCTGCAGACCCGAAAGAGTCTTGTTGTGAGTCTTCCTGGCGTCTTCGCATTCAAACAGAACCAAACAGAAGCATTCACGTCCTCAGCATGAAACCAAATGGAGGCGAACGACCGAAGTAGCATCCCGCAGCTTTGGAATGATGCGCGCAAGTGTCCGCCCGCAGCTTTCGTGCAGACAATCCAAGGTTTGCGGATGATGAAGGTGGACCAGTGGAGGACGTGTTTGATGAGTTGCGGACGAAACGCACACCTCCAAAACCAAAGAGTTTTCCAAGAGAAAGTGCACGCAACGCGGAAGCAAATGGGATTTGGATGGATTTGGGCTGAATGGGCTGACAATGTGGCCATCCAAATTCTATTTATAACACCCAAACCAAATGGCCACATGTTTTTTTTTCCCGGCATCTGTATGTTTTTATCTTTGCATGTTTTCTTTTGTGCAATGAATTCTGCTGTTCAGTGATTGTAGTAAAGGTTCTCTTTTTTAAACGGTGCAGAATATGATTCATCAAGCCAGAACTTCAGAAAGCAAATGGAGTCTATCTCCTATGCTGACCACCTTAAGTTTGGAGCAGTCCCACCTGGGTATGTTTTTGAATTATAGGGAGACGCCCTGGCCGTGGCTGGGTCGACAGACTGGTCGACTGGTCTGTTTCCCTTCCAGGTCTCCGTCCGTCTTGCGCCGCGCGAAGGCCTCCGTGGGCCGCGCCCCGCCAGGAGGTGGTCGAGGTCTTGGTTTCGCAGCCCTCGGCGACGGATCGCTTGGCGAACTCGTGGAAGGCCTTTCGAACGCATCGGGGCGTTCCAAAACGACCAGAGAGAGAGAGCGGGTGGAACAACGAGTGAGTCACGTGTCAGTGGTGCAATACATGTCTATATCCGCTGACCCTCCCAAAAAGATATATGGAAGTGGACAACCTACCTCCTGTTTGTAGGGGACAAGGGTTTTTCCAGGCGCCGAGGCAATGTTGCACAAGTACCTCGTTGATGCTAGGATCATCTTCCGACATGCTGCATGAAACAAAACTCTTCGTGGTAACGTGAAACCTTATTCGTCAGAGGGGAGTGTAGGTCGAAGTATGAATCGACAGATGTCGGTCGAGCTTGTTTTTTGTTTTTGCAGCCGCTCGGCCTCAGAATTCCATGATGTGTATTGAACTGTTGGGTATCGCCTCCTGCGGATCCCTGAACCATAGCACAACTCGCTCACATCAGGCAGCAGGAATCCCCGAGCAACATGATATCTATAAGATTTATCAATACCCTCCCACTGCCCATGGAAGTGGAGAATCCATGAGAACCCATGTTTTTTTTCGGAAGGAATTCAATGGATTTCATGGTCTTTCCATCCATGCCACGGCCATGCCATTCACGGCTGCCACCATCCGCCTTGGTGTCGACCAGTCAGCCAGGCCCTCCAAAGCTCCTTTTGCCGCAAAGCCAAGGCGCCGATGTACCGGTACACCAGCTGAGATGATGGGCGAGCATTGATCATAGCAAGCATAGCATGGCAGGCATCGTGCAAGGTGGCATACAATCAGGTACTCGTAGAAGACCGTAGAAGTTGCAAAGTTGCTTGATCATATTGTATGGGCCCATGGGGGTGCCTCTTCAAATCCATGTCGAATTTGACTGTTCGGATGCACCCAGGACGGCGTCAAATAACTGAGCAGCCCCACCCGTGTAGTAGGAATTCGTTCAGAGTCAGAGCCATTGCAGCTGTTCAGCTGCAGGTGAGATCTTTTGTTTTTGATGTGTTTGGACTCGTTTTTTGCCACACCGCCCATTGTTTCAACCCTGTTTTCTGAACACGTTGCATTGTGCTACTGTTGAAACGACGTGTCAACCCTTTTATCCTTCTACCAGGGTCTTACCAATTGCCGGATATTTAAAGTACCGTGTTCATCCGTTTTCAGTTTTCAGTCCCAGCCTAGTAGCGCTCGGTGCATTCCTTATCCTCTTGATTCCCCAAGACCCTTGAGCAATTTTGTAGTTTTTTTTTTTGCGCTTTTGAGTTCAACTGTTGCATGATTTAGTTGATGTCCAAATGGAAGTTGAAAGTGCCACCTGTTGTTTCAAAGATTGCTCAGATGCTAGTTGTTTCAAGAAATGTTTGGTTTGTTTGGTGCAGATGACGAAGATTTCGGCCCAGACTCAGCGTCCCTCCTTGATATCCCGGTTTTTTGCACGGGATTTGAAATTCGTGTGAGCTTGTGTTTCAGGTGTTTTTGAGACCAGTGGGAACCAACATGCCATTCCAATTTTCTGTGGAAGTGGATGGCGAACCGAAGAAGATGAACTCCAAAAGCATTGAGTTTCCAAGTGAGTCAGAGTCTACTTCAATGCTTTGTTGGGTGCTTTTGATGCTCTTCAGAAAACACAAGCAGCGCACGCCGCTTCACTTTGACCCATCCGGAGATCCAAGATCTCTCGGAGATGGCCAAAATTGCTCAGGGCCCAGCATCCCAAGAGTTTTGGGGGTAGAGCTCTCTAAAGCACAATGCCTGTTGGGTGCAGGGAATAGCCATGGGTGGAAGACTGATCGGAGATCATTTCAGCTTTATATAGATCTCTTCAACACAAAGAATGGAGCGCATTTGGGTAGCTACCGGCATGCTTTTGATCAACAATGCTTTGTCCCAACGGCCATTTGCAACCAACTTGCTTGTGCACTAGACCTGGGCGCTCGCTAGGCCCACCCAGATGTTTAGGGGCGCTCGGCTCAAAAGAACTCGGACTCGTTTTTTTGGTCCAAGTTGCAGTCCCTGCGGATGAAGAAAGAATTCCGAAAACCACCGAATTCCTGCAGAAAAGCCGTGGTAGCTTTGTTGCCTCATCAGATTCTATCCACCAGTCTCCATCGATGGGGTGTCCTCGACCCTGGATGAAGCGTTTCAGGACGGTTTCGCCAAAGGCCCGACGGTTCACCGTGTCTTTCCCGGACACATTTGTTGGAAATGTTCCTCTACAGTAACAGTTATAACATGCTATAACAACATCTACACTCCCTTGAATTATCATGGACATATTCGCAACATGGATGCAAATTGTCATCCTTTCAGGGCCATACCATCCACTTTGTTGATGATTTCAGGGAGTGTAAAGCTACAATCTTCACAAGCACCCTAAAAAAGGAAGCGTTTCGTGTGAATGGAAAGAAGTTGGGAGAGAGATGGAGTGATCTTCGTGAAGTGGCGTCCATGCGTCACCGGTGCCTTTCATCCGTTGCTAGACTGGTTGAAGTAAGGAGAGCGAAGAGGCTCTCTAGAACGATGGACGTAGATGGACCGTGAGTGAAGCTGGCTCACGAGACCAGTCTTCTCAATCCTCACCTGTGGACTCCATGCAGTGGCTTGAGGGACATACCTGGGGTACAGGACCCAGGGAGTCCAAGACGACGCGCGTGGACCATCGTGGACCTGGTTGAAGTAAACTCCGTAGTAAAACAAGGGTGGCTTTGGATTCAGACTATTAAATCGCTGGTTGGAATCCTATTATGTACGTTATAATATATATATATATACACCAGGACCGACACCAAGAGGTGTCTGTAAATAGCCTCTTAGAGGTGACCAGGAGGTGTCCAAAAACCACCGGACTTGGAAGGTCCTGGTATATACGCCTGATATAGTATTTGGTACCTATCACCTTGGTAGAACCCCACGGCCCGACCATTTGATGCCAGGTGCCAACTGCAGCGGTGACCCCAGCGGCTCCCGTGGCGCCTTCCGTGGCGCCTTCCGTTGAGCGGCCGGGAGTGGCTCGGTGAAACAAGGGGAGGCTCAGCCAGCTGAGCCTTCGAAAGGGGGATGTTTTTGCGAAGATGATGGAAGCTGAGAGCCTGAGAAGAAGAAAACCAAAATGAATTGCTTCAAGATGGTTCTCCAGAAGATGCTTCAAAGATGAATGAAGGTATACCGTGGTTTGATGTAGGTGCCCTGCACATTTTTGGGCATCGTCATTTGCTGATGCTTCTGTGATTAGGTTGAAGGAGATCACGAGACCTCCTGAGCGTATCCGAGAAGACCTGTGGGCTCAAGATATCTCACAATCATCTCATAATTGTTGCAATCAGCCTGCCTGAGATCTTTAGGTATCCTTGTTCAACAATTGTTGGAAGAATGGTGACAATTTAGATTAAATTTATTTATGTGATGCCTTTGCAGCTCCCTTCTTCGATTAAACCAGGCGCTCACCACAATAGCTGAAACCATCCCCCAAGGCAGCCTTTAAACAGCCGCAGTCGACTCAGGTCCACCGTTGTATGTTTGTTTCTCTTGATAAAAGTCACTGATCACCCTGTCGCTGTGTGCGCCACATATTCAAAGCAGTCTTTCGTGAGCGGTGAAACCGCATGTGAGGTTGATAGCCTGGACGCATACTTGCAGCAAAGGGAAAAGGCGGGCACGTGCGGCACACAAAAGACAAATGCTGAGGTGTGGGCTCATGTCAATCCTCCAGGGTTTGTTGACAAACCCCTTTTGAGTCGAGCGACGCACAGAGGACATCGCAACCGCTCACTGAAGCATGATCTCCAGATTTTCTCCTCGGAGGTTTCTCTACCGAACTGAACTAAGGCTCATGAATTCATATCAATCCCCTTTCCTGCCCAATTTCCAGCTATATAAACCTCAACATGTACCACACAAGGGAAAACAATGTCAACATCCCCGCGGAAATGAATCCTTTGCTGTGTGTGTGTGTGTTGGTTGTTCATTTGAAGTGTTTTGCACTGTTTACCACCTGAGTCGAAGAGGTCCAAGTTTTACTCACTGTTTTTGGTAGTTGCGAGGTGGAAAAAAACAAGCAGATCCAATGTACAGATGCTGAATCTACCATGACCTAACCAGTGTTGCCAGTTTTTCGTGTACATGTTTAGTCTTGGCTGCCACCAGCGGCCCACTACTGAACAAAACGGTTTGGAATGATCTTGATTCGATCTGGGAACCTCAAACTGTCCCCACACAAGCAACGCACTCACTAGAAATTGGTTGGCGAAGCTCCGCAGACACGTTTTTTACATGGCTGCTTGGATGCCATGTGGAAAAAGTGAAGGTTCCTGACACCCTAGCATGTGTTGGGCGCCTCAAAAGAAAGAAATAAATAAAGAAAGAGAGAGAGAGAGAGCATGGTCAACATGTTCGCCAACATGTTCAACACGACCTGACTCAGCACCAGACAGATTCTTTCTGTGAGGCGAGCGACATCGACCGCGCCGCCCGGGCGCACCCGCACCACGCACATGCGGTGCACGCGCCTCAAAGGGTTTGTGCTGTGGTGCTGCTTGTAGGGAACTGGGTGACCATCACCGGGCTGGCCCAGAAATGCAAGTGCGTGGTGACCACGTTACAGGATATCTTTTTTTTTTGTGAGTTTGGCTTTCCAAAAGTCCACTAGGTGTGCCAGATCTGCAAGGAGAAGCCAGCAGTAAAACCACCATGTGCACAATCAAGATATCAAAAACACCTCTTCCTGGACGGATCGCATCGGTGCGTCCTCGGTGCCTTCGGTCCAAGCAGTTCGGTCGCTCCCCCCAACCGGAGCCAACACCTTTGGATGAGGCCACACACACATGCTGCCCATGCTCATGAACGACGGCGCAGAGAGGAGTCCGAAACGACGACGGCGAGTTCGTCGCGGTGAAATCAATGGGTGCAGGAATGGTGTTTTCCATGTGCAACATGTTTGTTTCATGGTGGACATGGGCAGAGCATTCTGCTGTTTTAAGGGAATCAGTCAAATATATCGAGGGGAGATGGGCAGACCGTGAAAGAAGGGCAGATCATGTTACAGGCTGAAGTTAGGCTTATGCGAATGAAGTGAGAATTAGGGCGTGTGTGGGGAGTTCGATGCGGAGGCCATTCTTGCGGAGTCCCAACCCCAAAAAAAGGGTCCAGCCAGCTGTGGTTTGAGGATGTGCTCCGCACACTTTTGAGATGCTTTTTGGGCCCATGGATTTAGATGCCAGATGCTGGCCTTCCCGCCCCACGTCAGGAAGGCAGTCATGGCAGCCACGCACCTTCACGGCCCTTGCCTCCGGTCGACAGAGGTCGCAAGTCCGCAAGTCATTGCAAATCGTTTTTCCTCACTGTATCGAGGTTTTGTGCCAAATCCACTCCACGAAGAGGGCAGGTTTGAATCATTTGAGTCCAGCATTTGCTTTGCTTCGGGCAGTTTAGCCACGCTCAGCCGTTTCCCAAAGAATCCAGACCTGCCACACCTGCCCCAGACCATCCATGTTTGTATGGTATCGCTGCACACACGCATACATTTACCCCATGTATGACCAATGTAAGTAGTTCATTTCGTACACGGGGTGTTTGGGTATGGTATTTGGTGGTGGCCAAAAGCTGCGAAAAACGTAGGTCCCCACGGCCATGCTTATGCCGCGCACATGCCAGCACGACCGCCGCCGGGGCCTCGGACCTTCGTTTTGGAGGTTGTTGGTTGTGGAATATGTGAAGAGGGGGGGCAGGTCGGCCATCAAATACAAACATTTATAGACCAGGTGTTATTCGTTTTCTATAGAATAATAATCAATGACGTTTCTTGACGCGGACGTGTTTCGATGCCGCGGTTTTTGCAGCTCAGAGATTGATTTTAGTTAGCAATGGCGTCTGAACTCATGGCCAATCCCGAACAGGACAGGGTTCGACTTGATCTTGCCAAGGTGACAAACATTCAATTCATCTCAAGATAAGTTTTGCGGCGTTTTCCATTTAACAGCATGTGGCCAGTTCGATTGGTGTGTTTATCAATTTACATTGTTGCGGTGAACATGAAAACATCAAAAACCAATGTCGGCCAACCGCGGTGCGTTATGGAGTTGTGTTGTTCCAGCAACACTGAACTGGTCACCGCCAGGAACAAGATGCCCTTCTGAGTGAACAACAAGACTCGGAAGCACTTCTTGCTCATCGGACGTGGCACTTCAAGCGTGCCTTGGATTGGGGATGTGGTTCCACCATGGCCTTTGATCGGTCTCAATGGGGGACTGAGGTGCACTCTATAGTTTGGAAACATATAAAAATTCACCCGGAATCATCAACGATTTGGAGAGTTACACAGATTTCAACATGCCTTTAACAAGAGTTTCGAATCATCACTTGCGCACAAAAGAACTGGAAGACTGGACTGACGAGGTACTTGTTGTGTAGTTGGTCCATTCCGCCGCCGTTCTGTTTGACTGTTGATGGTGACCGGTGACCATCCACTCGAGGTTTAAGTGTTCTCTTTGCCACTTTGGCGGCTTGTGCGCTGGCGGCACTGGCGCTGGCCACGGAGCAGCCATTTGCCTTGCGTGGCAAGGAGTGTGTCGGTGCAGAAATTGTTTTGTGTTCTTTGTGACGGGAGGATTACTTACCCTCTGACTCGCTAACATGGAAGTGGAAAACCACCTGTTTGTAGTGGAAAATGGTCTTCCCTGGGGCCAGAACGTCCATTTCCATGTGAGTGAGAGGAGGATTACTTAGTAGCTTTGTGCTCGGCGGCATGTCCGGCCGCCTGAACGTCGCAAGATGTTGGGAGAGGACGGCGCCGATCGGATCGATCCGTGCCCGACGGGGGCGGATCGATCCGTGCCCGACGGTGTGCCCGAAGCGAGTCGGGTCCGCAGGTCTGACGTGGAAGACTTTGATCCGATCCCGATCATGGAAAACACCGATGTGTTCGGAACACACAGCACATGAGGCCCACATGGACCCTCAGAATGGCATCAAAGACCATGGCATCGCCTACCACCCAAGTGGTTCTTAGGGTTCCGTCCTGCAAGCGCATGATTTGAGCTGTGCTGAAACCGCTTGCAGGACGGCATTCAGTACAGCGATCCCATCGAGGCGGGACTTGGAGCGTGGTCGAACTCTTGGCGTCGGTTAGTGGGTTTGTTTTCTGGGTTAGTGGGAGCTTGTAGTTGGCTTGGTGGGTTTGGGTGAACGCAGCAAGGAACCATGTTCAAGACATGTTCACAGGAATTAATTCACAGCAGCTTATGAATCGGGGGGTCTAAGTTGCTTTCATCCTCATTTATCGTGACAGGACAGAGCAAATGGCTCAGAGGAAAAAAAACGGTCTGAGCTGACATCCAGGAGCACTGATCCGTCCACAGGTGACCCTGCAACTTCCTGGAAGGACCAGACCGTCCGAACACGCCGTCCGAACGGCCGAAGCATGCCGAAGCGACCGACGGTCCAGGTGGATGTGGATGAGGCGACCAAAGAGTTCTCCACGCCACTCGCCATAGATGGAACGAAAAGAGTGGACTTCAATAATGCATCGTTTTTTCCTTCTTGGAAAGCTGATGTCGCTGGTTTCCTGTACTAGGTGAGAAAGGGAACATCCTTTAGGGACGTACCTTTCAACAAAAATTATGGACAAAACGGAGAAATGTACCAGAAGAGGACGACAAAGAATCTGGAGAAGACGTAAGACAGCGAGACAAACAACATGGTTCAAGTAAAAGCAAGCAGGCAGGCAGGCAAGCAGTCAATCATGCATCAATTACATGTACAGCCACCCACCTTACGGGCAAGAGCTTTCTCGCCAGACGCAGCCCACCCAGAGTTTAGACATGTTTAGACAGGCCGAAGAATAGTAGGTCGTGATTGCTTAGGTACTTGGACAGGTGATGAAAGGTGATTCCTTTGGATCTTGAATTGACTGTTTTGACAATGTTTGTTGTTGTAAGGTTTTTGGGCTGCCTGTATTCTTCGCACAAAAAAACTGAAGATTTGCGTCCATAAATAGCTTGCAGGGTGACATCAAATGTCACTCCCAGTGGATACTGGTTTAGCCGTTCATGGTTGAAGCCAAAGGGTGACATTGTGGTGCAAGACCTGCTGTGGTGTTGCACTGCCTGGAAGTTTCATGCAGTCATGGTGCTCATAGAGAGAGAGAGAGAGTTGGACAAGTTCTATTGTTCAATTACATCTAGACGAGACAAACCCATTCATACATACCATGGCATGGTGACTTGTATTTTTCTACATGTTATACCATTTCCATACATACAAAGCACCTTTTTTCGTACCATTGCAGAGTGGCCAAGCGCTCGATCTCCTGCGCTGCAGCGGGATTCCAACGATTTTGGTGAAAGCTTCCGATACATCACCAGATGGTACAGTAGATGAGAGATGTGTTCTCTCGATTTGTATCATCCGGATACTCCCAAACCTCCAATGACTCGTGAACCACCCGCGTGATCACCGAGGTACTCCTATGACGCCCAGCCTGCGGGTGGTCTGATGTATTCCAATCACCAAACCCCCGTGACGGCCTATGGCTACAACACAGCGCCTGTTTCACCGAGCTACACCAGCTCTTCGACATCCAAGTCAGACCTTTGGATCGCACTGGATGGAGATGGGAGGGCATGGAAAGAAACTCAAACGCCTCAAGGAGATGATATCAGTGTCCCAAACTTGCCGCAGCGAGGAGGGTGACCGTGGAGGAAACGACCATCCAGTATTTTTGGGGGGATGTTCGCCCAAGCGGCGGTGGCTGACATGATGAGCTATTTGAATACTCCTTTGTGCATACTATTGCTTAATGGATTTTTGTGTGGGAGGGGTCATTCTTCTTCTTTTTGAGTGGCTTGGAGGTCAGACAGGCGGCAAGAAGCTACAAGTCCAGTGTCTCCAGGTCCGAGGTTTTTTTGAACAAATGATTGCCGTTGGTGCATCTATATTAAAGAGATGTTTTTCTATTTTTGGAGACTCAATGCTCCATGGCAAACATCCCCAAATCGTTCCAAGTTGGAGGGTTCTGAGATTCTTCGGTATGATAAGTTCTTGAGATTCATCCAACACCAGGTCTGTGCAAGATGCGACAAAACCTAAGGCAAGTCTATATTATTTCTATGGTGGGTAGTTGGATAATACTTAAACCCAACATAACTACCACTACTGCCAGCCTAAGTACCTGCTAAGCCGACTCTATGACTCGTATTTAGACCGTATTTAGACCAGAGATGAGTAGAGTTTGTGTTTATAAGTCAGTCCAGGACCGCCTTTTGGCTGTCTTTGACTGAACCGAGGCTTTAATCAAGAATCATGCAGTCATCAGGTAGGCAGAACCGATGGGACAGAAGTTACACATTTGAGTTCACTCAGATGTCTTTAGGGTTCAAATCCCAGAACCACACGGCGAACCATGGCTTTGGCTTCTCCATTCGCACACGGCTCCACCCTGCTGGACCGGCGAAACCGCCCGGCCGAAACCGGCGAAAGCGGCCCCCACCGAGGCTCGTTGCATCCTGTGCAACCCGTTCGGGGCCCCAGAGGACCGGACCGGTGGAGCCGAGTAGGTCGGTCATTCGTGGTGTGATATGGTTGTTTTAGGAGCTCTAGTAGTAGCTCTATAGTTCTTTCTTTTTGGGTTGGTTTAGTGGTTTTATGGCCAATTCGTGGTGGACCCAGATCTTGGTGGTTTAGAAGATCTTTAGTGGTGACCCAGATCTGTTGTTTTAACTGTAATGATTTGGCGAGTGTTGCCCTCCCTTTGGGGGCACCACTCCCTTTGGGCGTGCACCACTCGTGCTGCGATCCAACTGAGGAACCAGTGCACGCTGGACTTGACGGGAAAGGGTGCCTGGACCAGTTGTCCCGCGTCGCAGAAATACTTCTCGGAGGCGCATTGCAAGTGTGCATCTGGGCAGCAAGCTGTGCATCTGAGCAGGTAGCTAGGCCTTAGTACCAAGCTGTAGGTACCCTACGGTACTAGGCCTGCTAAGCTTAGTACCTGCTAAGATGCAAGCTGTGCATCGCAGAGTGGGGATGGGAGGGTTAGTGGCCGAAGATTGGAATGAAGAGAGAATCCGAATCCAAATGTGATTAATGGCCTACTTGTACGTACTAGTGAGCTCTATGAAATCGTTGGGATAAATATATGCAGGGTAAATTATGGTAAATTGATGATTAGAAATGATCATCACATTCCACTACATGTCAGGTGGGGAATGTTTTCTATCTCTCTTCCACATATATTTGCTTCATCACCAGGTCTAAACCGACGTGTTTTGCCATCAGGCAGACCATCATCATTCTCTATAAGTGTTGCGACTGCAACACCTCTTCCGGTTGTGTCTTTGTACAGTGAAGTGGCACCTCCAGCATCCGACCAGAGAACCTCTTCCGGGTGGCCCTCTCATTCCCGCTTCCACCCCCGGGCCCCCCCCCTTTTTTCTGGCTCTCAACCAGTCAGGCCCCCAATCCTCATCCAAACCGGGCCACCAAGACCGACCGGAGACCGTTCTTCCGAGGTGAGCTCGTGCTCCTCCGATCCGTCGCCCATCGTGTCCTCCTGCAGCGACTTGGGCGTAGAAAAGGGGGCGGTACGGTCAGGCGGGAAGCTCGGCTCGGCTTCGTCTCAGACCCCAAGGCTTCGGCCGATGGGACGCTGAACACAGCCCTTTGGGA